TCGACAAAGTTTGGCATGCTGGTCTTCTCCATAAGCTTGCTTCATATGGTGTTTCTGGGAAAGTTTTTGAGATTATCAAATCATTTCTTTCTAATCGGTTTATTAAAGTCATCCTTGAAGGCCAACACTCTTCTTTATTTCCAGTAACTTCTGGGGTTCCCCAAGGTTCCATCCTGGGCCCTGTTTTGTTTCTTATCTACATAAACGATCTTTCTGACAACCTTTCATCTAAAGTAGCTCTTTTTGCTGATGACTCAACTTTATACTCCTGTCTTGACAAAACGTTTTCTCTTTTTGATCGCCTAGAACAAGCAGCTGATCTTGAATCCGATCTCACTTCAGTAATAGATTGGGGTTCACAGTGGCTTGTGAATTTTAACTCTAAAAAAAACCCAGTTGCTTACTGCAAACAACTACCGTAATATGGTCAACATTCCTATATTAATGAATGGCAATCCTCTTACTGAGTCCTCCTCTTTACGTCTTCTTGGATTATCGCTTACTACTAACCTTTCATGGAAACCATATATACAATCGATTGCTAAATTAGCTTCTGCTAAGGTTGCTTCTCTTTATCGTGCTCGCCATTTCCTTACTTCTGATTCCATTCTCTACCGCTACAAATCTCTTATTCGTCCCTGTATGGAATACTGTTGTCATATTTGGGCTGGTTCTTTTAGCGATTCACTTTCTCTTCTTGACAAGGTCCAAAAACGCATTGTAAATGTTGTTGGACCTGGACTATCTGCTAAGCTTGAACCTCTTTCCCATCATCGTAAAGTTGCATCTCTTTCTCTTTTGTACAAATACTATCATGGTCACTGCTCAAAGGAGTTATCATCTCTAGTTCCATCAACTAAAATTCATTCTCGTTTTACTCGTCATTCAGCTAAGTCTCATTCGTTTACTGTATCTGTCCCTGCATGCTCTAAAAACTTTTATTCATCTAGTTTTTTTCCCCGCACTTTAATCCTTTGGAACTCTCTCCCCTCTTCATGTTTTCCTGACTCATACAACCTTCAACTTTTCAAGTCTTCTGTCAACCGTTTCCTTGCTCTATAACTCTGTTCTCTTTTTTTCCTAGTAACTCCCAATTTAATAGTAGTTGCTTGCATCCTTGTTGGGAGTGAATGCAAATAAAAAAAAAAAAAAAAAGAAGTTGTAATAAAAATTAAATATTGCAATTGATGACTTTGAAATTAGTGTTAAATCTATTTACAGTTTAAAAGGTACTAGTTTTTAAATAAACTAATTGTAGCAACTGATGAAAGGAGTGAAGATTAAAAACAATATAAATCAAACTAAAATATACATGCTTAAAATTGTTAATCCATAATCATTACTAAAAGTTATCCTATACAAACTTACTAGTGGTAGGCTGTGTAGATTGGACTAAAAATAACAAAATAATTTTACAATTACACAAAACACTATGAAATCGTCAACAGTAAGTTACAAAAGTAACAATGGTCAAATCATTTCTGTGAAAGATAAAGCAATTTTATTAACAAATTGAAAATAAACAATGCAAATATAACAGCAAAAATATAAAGAAAAAATATTTACAAACTAATATTTGGAATGGTTATATACTTTGTTTATATAATAATTATGTTATATTGGTTATGGTTATGTATAAATTATGTGACTTATACTTACAAAATTTTACAAATCTGCATAACATTTAGTAGGATCTAAACAAGAAGTAAACATTAAGCATGCTTGTAATGTGATTTAAAAAACAATCCACAGATAAAAAAGTATACAATCCAAAAATTATAAAACATGATATTATTATTTTTTAATATATTTCAAAAGCACTAACAAGTCTTTTTTTAGGAATAAAGCAATGAAGTATCTGATTTGTATATTTGTTTATATGTGTTGTCTTAATAAAATTGTTAACAGATACTATCAGTTAACAATCCAACCAAAACCAAAAGTATTAATCTGAAACATTATTCTTTTTTTTATGTAACATATAAACAAAAATTAAGGTTACATTTATGAATATTTTTTGATTTAAAATAGTTATTATTGATATTGTTATGGAAAAAACATTAAATTTACTAGTTGTAAGAGAGTCTTACAACTCTTGGTCAATTTGCATTATAATTTAAATCTAATAATAAAGATCAAAATAATATACTATTAGAATTTTTTTTTGTATTGTCGGCCGCACTATCGGCCCCGTGATTCGCTTTACGAAAAAATCAACAGAAAAATTGAAATTAGGTACCAAAGGAGTACACTATTTAAAGTATCTGCTGCAATTTGTTTTTTGTTAAAATTTTGCATGTGAATAGGAAATACATGTAAAAAATTATCTGAATAATAAAAAAGGGGGATCAACATTTCTTTGACTACAAATTCATAAAAAAACATCAACCAAATTTTCGTGCAAAATATTTGGCAAAATAATCAAGAAAAAAGTATGCTAACCAAACATATTAGTCATAAAAAATCAAGCATAACCCTTTTTTTATTATTTAGATAATTTTCTACATAACATGTAGAAAATTAATAATAAAAAAAGGGGATCAACATTTTATTGAGTATAAATTTATGTAATAACATAAACCAAATTTTCAGGAGCAAAAAAATCTATTAAAATGTTAAGTAACCATACATAAATGTCATATAAAAATCAAGATCAAGATTAAATTTTCTTCTTTCAAAAAAGTACTTATGTGTATAAATGTTTCTAAATATAAACTCCACAAAACTCCATCTGCCTCACGCTGGCTAAAAAAGCATTAGAAAAGCAAGAACCAAAATTTTAGCATAAAAATTGGTTTCGTAAATTGCGATTTCCGCGAACCTACTTCAATTCTTCAGCTAATCTTTTAATTATAAACAACGTGACGAGCGCCACCTCTAGAAACGGGAAGTATATAATTCGTTTGATCTTACCTTCTTAAAAATGATTGAGTTGTGTTTCGATTAACTCCTGTTCACGATGAAGCTTCAGATTAAGTTTTTCTTTGATCAACGACTAGATTTACAACAAGATCTCGCATATTTTGGGAAAAAGGAATTTCTCGGCATAAAGATTCAGATTGAGTTTATCGCGGCAATGAAGTTTCAGATTGAATTTTTCTTTGATCAACGACCCATTTCAAAAACAAATTTTTGCCTATTTTTGGCAAACAGAATTTCGATGCCTATTTTAATAAAAATCTAATATGCACATGCACTAAATGTTTTAATATCATCATGCATGAAATCATGATTGTTTCAATTATCATCATGCATGTTTTAAACGTCATGGTTGTTTTGCTAATACAGTATGTGTATAAAAAATATGTACCCGGTTTTGCATTTATTTAAAACAAACATGACATCTATTTAGATTTATAATAAATTCCATGAAATTAAAATAAATGAATATAATATTTATCTAATATTTTATTAATACAAGAAATTTTTCTAATATTTAACACAGTAATTGATCGTGTTAACAATGTGCTTAGTAATTAACTATTACTTTGGGATGAACCAATGTTACAATCAATCAATCTACGACAGTTTGCTGAGTATATCCATCGAAAAAGGGCACCCCTAGAAAACTGTTTTGGTTTTATTAAAGGAACTGTTCGTAGAACTGCTAGGCCTAAATCAAATAATTGTCTACAATGGTCATAAGAGAGTTCACGCACTAAAATTTCAAAGTGTAGTAGTTCCAAATGGTATGATAGCAAACTTAGCTGGTCCGTTTGAGGGTAAAAAACATGATAGCACTATGCTATGCGAATCTGGTTTACAGCAACAGTTGCAGCAGTTTCCATGGCATGGTGGGCGTCCTTTATGTTTATATGGTGATCCAGTCTATCCACTTGGAGTACACCTCTTAGCACCATACAGAAATTTGAATGTTAACCCAGAACAACATCCCAGCGGGCATTTTGACGTCCTAAGGACGTCCGTTAGATGTCTTAAGTCTCGTCCGTAAGACATCCTTAGTGAGTCTCAAATGAAAGGCTTGAGGACGTCCATTCCGGACGTCCTAAAGACGTTTTTTAAAGACGTTCTAGAGACGTCTCTGGCTGGTCTCATATGAATGACTTAAGGACGTCTTTTTCAGACGTCCTAGAGACGTTTGAATTTTACCAAGACATTCTTTTAAAAGTTATATAAAAATGCAATGATTTACAACACACACCTTAGATTTGCCTTAATCTAGGCAAGGGAAGTTATAAAAGGAAATCAATGTAAATAAAGTGTAATTATATATATTTAAAATAAATTAATAACTTTATAAAAATTAAGAATAATTTTTCAAACAAAAAAGTTACATTTTTCAAATTAAAAACAAATAGGTACTGTAGAATATAATCGATAGTGCATTATAAATAGAAGAAAATTGCTTAAAAATGGAAAAAAAATACAACAGTTAATTAAGCCAACATTGATCGAAATCCATATTAGTCGATGTTTTCTTTATTCGGTCAGAAGAATGCCTAACTACTCTCCCAATAAGTTGGATAGCATCCATTTTGGTTAAGTTTTTATTTGACTTTAAAGCAGCTTCTAATAAAAACAACAAAACATGTTTCAATAAAATCATAAAATAAAATATATATGTCATACTTGAATACATGTCATGTTCCAAAGCCAAAAAACTTTTTTTTTTTTTTTTAAAACATCATTTTTAATTTTTAATTAATCAAACACATTAATAAGCTAATAAGAATACCAGTGACAGCGTTACATAGACTTGTCAACTCTTTAAACTTTTTTTTCTTCTTTAGACAATTCATGCTGTATTCTGACAAAATAGTGTCTGTTGGCAGTCTACATATATAAAAAAGAAGATAAATGCTCTACTGTCAATCATAAATGTTAAAACTCAAACTTTTGCTAATTACTTACAAGAGCAAAATATTTTTAATTGTATCATCATACATCATTTTTAATTTTAAAAGTTATTCAAACACATTAATAAGCAAATAAGAATACCAGCATTACATAGACTTGTCAATTCTTTAAACTTTTTTTTCTTCTTTAGACCATTCATGCTGTATTCGGACAAAATAGTGTCTGTTGGTAGTCTACATATATAAAAAAGATGATAAATAATGTACGGTCAATCATAAATATTAAAATTCAAACTTTTGCTAATTACTTACAAGAGCAAAATATTTTTAATTGTATCTACTCGATTTTTTACCGCTAATTAATGATAACTGTTTTACCTAAAAAGAAACAATGTGAAAGAAACATTGAAAATGTTTATGACAATTTAAAAGAATTATTGTAACAATATATAACATATAAACTATAAAGATAAAACTGACTAATACAAAAGCGATGTATTGGATATCTATATTTGCAATTTTTCTTTTCCAAACATTAAGTTCATCTGAAATTTTACGTTGTGTAAAACCTTCTTCTGGATCATTAGAGAACTGTGCAGTTATATCTACTAAAATGTTGTTAATTTCAGCAAATTGGAATATAACTTTTTTTTGAAACTCTGAAAAGTAAAATATATAAGTGAAGCAATATAAACAGTACATAAAATAGTTAATAGTACTTCTTATATATGGTTGAAAAGAGGTAGATTTAAACTTAAAAAAATATATAAACAAGGAAAGTTCAAGAAAATAATAAGATTTTTGTCTAACGCAAAAAACTGTAAAAAATCACTACTTTATATATATATATATATCTATCTATATCTATATCTATATATATATCTATATATATATATTTATATATATATATATATATATATATATATATATATATATATATATATATATTTATATATATATATATATATATATGTATATATATATATATATACATATATATATGTATATATATATATATACATATATATATATATATATATATACATATAAATAAATGTATATATATATATATATATATATATATATATATATATATATATATATATATATATATATATATATATATATATACATATACATATATCAAGCTGTCAAAGAGAATTAGATAAGTGTTGTTGCAAATTTATTACTTAGGCATGTGGAGTTGGAAAAAAAAAATACCTTTTTTTTTTTAACTCCACACACCTGAGAGTTGTTCTCTAAATTTTCTCTAAAAATTTCAGAGAACAACTCTGACTCCAATTCCGACTACAAAGCAAATTTTTTGAATATTTTTTTGAATTCTTTAAAAAAATATTATGCAATGATTAAAAAAAATCTTTTTTGCAAAATATATGAAAATTTGTTTAAAGGTTAAATAAATTGTACATGCACATGCAATACAGAGAAGTTTTACTATTTGAGTCAGAATTGCGATTTTGTTTAGCAACTCTGACGCCACTTTCAATGTTGCAACTTCAACTCTATGACTACGCAACCCTGATTGCTCTGATCTTTAAGAACATTGCAATTCTATTTGTATATATATATATATATATATATATATATATATATATATATATATATATATATGTATATATATATATATATATATATATGAAATATATATATATATATATATATATATATATATATATATATATATATATATATATATATATATATGTATATGTATATGTGTATATATATATATATATATATATATATATATATATATATATATATATATATATATATATATATATATACATATATATACATATATATATATATATATATATATATATATATATATATATATATATATATATATATATATATATATATATATATATATAATGAATATGTATACATTATGTAAACGTTATAATATAATGTATAAATCATGTATAAATAATTATATATACATCCCACAATGGAACAATTATTAAATTAAACGAAACAATACAGTAACAAGGTATCAACATAAGTAATAATCTTAAAATTGTATATACAACCCATCAAATTCATCAAACCCATCAAAGGAAAAATCATCAAATTGAATGAAACAACACGTGAACAACAAAATATATACAATTTATTTATTTACTTATTTTTACAGCAAGATATTACAAATCTTTGCATATATGTTGTGTATATATATATATATATATATATATATATATATATATATATATATATATATATATATATATATATATATATATATATATATATATATATACATTATAATTGTAACTTAGTTACACTTAATAACTAAACTAAATTTTCTTTAATTTAAAAATTGTATAGATTATAGTTTATAGATTATAGAGTATAGAATATAGAAAATTGAAAAATATTTTTAAACGATAAATAACTAAACAAAATTAATAATATCATTATTAATATCAACCAAAACAAGTAGACATTTTTAATTAACCGAGTTAGCGCATAATATTGTATGCGCCAAGTTGTTAATATAAATTTTTAACTTATTTTTAAGGTAATTAGGACGTCTAATGTAGGTCTTAGCGACGTCAATAGGACGTCTAAATATGGAAATCCTGATATCGTCTTTATATTAACGTCACTTTGACGTCCTAACAAAGACGTCTCTACCGGACGTCTTTAGGACGTCTTAATTTGGTCTGAGACGTCGCGACCTAGTTAAGACGTCCTTAAGACATCTGATTGACGTCTGTGCCCGCTGGGATGCATTCAACAAAGCTATGAGTGCACATTGTGTTAGTGTTAAGTGGATATTTGGTTTAATGACAAATTATTTTAAATTCATAGGTTTTAAACAGTCTCAAAAACTTAGCTCAAATCCCATTTGAAAAGTATATACTGTATGTTCATTAATACAAAATGCACACACTTGTCTTTACGGGAAAATTGTTTCAGATTATTTTGATTTGAAAGCTCTCTCACTACATAAGTATTTTCAATAATTTAATAATAACATGACATCATATTAATACTTAACTTATTAAAAAAGTATGCCTGTTGTTAATCTTATAGATTATTGAAAATATTGCTTAACTTTCATGATTCTTTCAAATATAAAAAAAGATTGTCACATAAAGAATTTTTTATTCCTAAAAAAATGCTAACATAACAGTTTTGTTCAAAATATATAGTTTTTGAGAAATAAAAACTAATTTCTTTTCTCTAATAACATTTTTAATATTTCTGTTTCTTGAACTAACATATGATTAAACATATTTTGAATATAATTTTGCTGTTGCTGAGCAAGAACTCTTGCTTCAGCTCTTTCTTCTCGCTCAATGCGCCTATTTTCTTTATCTGCTTCCGTTTTTTCACGCAAAAATGTCAATGTATCATTTCATGATCTGCGAGAAGTTTTTGGAGACATGTCTTCATTATTAAGGGTTTTTCGTTTCCTTGTTTTCCCCTAACGCTTTATAGCAGTATTTCTTACGTCTAATGCTTTCGCACGATCTTCATCTACTGCATTTTTTTTGTTGTAGAGATATTTCATTTTTATGAACATCTGTGACATCACTGATTTCAATTAGTTCTTCAATTAAAATATCGACACTTAATTAATTTCATTAATAGCTCAGTGATTAAGTGCGCTGTTATCAGTGTTGTTTTGGAGGGTTTAAGACCTCCTCTTAGCGTATTAAGTTTTGAAATTTTTTCAATCTTTCTTATATATTTATAGCAAAAAAATAACAATATAGCAAAAAAGATTTCTAAAATTTAAAATAAAATTTAAAAGTTTTTTCATTTTATAGATATATAAGATAAAATGTAGGTAAAATTAAACTTTTTAATAAAATTTAAAAGTTTTCTTATATATTTATACATATATTAATATATATATATATATATATATATATATATATATATATATATATATATATATATATATATATATATATATATATATATATACATACATATATATATATATATATATATATATATATATATATATATATATATATATATATATATATATATATACACATATATATATATATATATATATATATATATATATATATATATATATATATATATATATATATATATATATTTATATATATATATATATATATATATATATATATATATATATATATATATATATATATATATATATATATATATATATAGACGCAATTGTTCCATAAAACGCCTGGAAACTCAACAAATGCTAAAGACATTTACACTTACAGACGTTTGTATGTAGCGTTAAACAAATGGAACTAAGAAGATCTTAGGGCACTAAAACATAGTATTTTAAAAAATTCATTCTTATGAATATGATTAAGAACTAAAGAATATTATTAAAAGCTAATCTAAAAGTTAAGCCAAAATGATTTTGCGCATTGACGTCAGTTTGTGGCAAAATAAACCTTTTTGCGTCAAGTTTTCTTTTGCATTTATCTTACGTTTTTTTAATTAATTTTTATTATATGCATACAAATGCATGAATATATAAAACTGGTACAGATATATCATTTTCACGGATAAGAGATTGTATTTATTAAATTAGTAATAATTAAATAGTTTTGGAGCCATCCGTAAAGGACGACATAATTTTTACCCAATTTTTGACCCCCTTCCCCCTTTATCACTGGTTGTTCTTTTTCCCTATACCCTCTTGAAAAGGACGTCATAAAAACCTGTTACCCCCAACTAAATTAAACCCCCCAAAAAATCGTTTGATCTCCCAATGATGTTTGAATCTGCTGCTACACCTTCGAAATATAAAATTAAAAGTATTCTTATACATTATCTTTTTAAAAACATATATTTACATTTTTTTTCATGTTAATTAAATTAAAAAAAAAATCTATTAAGTGACGTCCTTTTCTGACATACTCCCCCCTCTCCTTGTTCTTTTTTATCCTTTTTGTCTCGAACCCCTTCCCCCTCTCTCTTTTTGGATGACGTCCTTAATGGATGGCCCCTTTTGTCTTTAGTAGAATTTATCCCATAAAAATATATTCCATAAATTTTTAATAGATTGAGTTTTTATTAAAAATTGGAATAAAATCTTATTTATATGACTATCATTTTTAAAGGTCTAAGAAGCAAATGACATAATCTTAAAAATCAGAAACTATCGAGAGATGAGCAAATCTAAAATTGAAGTTTCAAATTTTTCACTTGGAAGTGACAATATGTTTCGTGTTTTTTTAATCTTGTCAATTTTTTAAAATATGTTAAGACAACTGCACAAAATCCAAACAAAACAGCTTAAGCAAAAGAGACTTGCAATTATTAGAAAAGTTTACTTGTGTTACATACGATCCTGAATAAAACATTATATAAGAGGATTTTTTACATTTTATAAACAATATATATATATATATATATATATATATATATATATATATATATATATATATATATATATATAAACAAATAGCATATATGTTTATATAATCATTGTTTATATAGAGACGGTTAAGCGCAACAAAGTTAAAAAAAAATTAGTTTGTATTAACATTTAAAAATGATTTATGTAGCGTTTCTTTGTAAAAACGAACTCACTATAATAAAATTTTAAAGTGCTATAATAAAACTTTGAACTACAATTATTATAATCACTGAAATAAATATTTTCACTATAATAAAATTTTTAACCAATTATATTTAATTTTTTTGGTTTAGTGGCTTTTGTTCAGAGCTTTTAAATTTTGCGTCAAATTATCTCATTTTAACATATTCGTTATATCATCCATACTGTAGCCGTTTTTCAAAAGGCCTTAAAGTTAAAAATATCATTTTCTTTTAACTAACTTTTTTACAAAATAAGTTAGTGCATATGTCTACAAACATTATTTAATACATATTTTCAAAGAGCTCTGAAAAAAATCCATTAAAATTATTCGTTTGAAAAAACGTTTAACAAAGAGTTAATTTAAAAAAATTCTTTTTTAATTGTGTTCTTCTCAAAATACGTAATAAGCATATTAAGGCGTTTTAAAAACCAGCTGCAACATATATTTATAGTAAAAAAATAAATGTAGCATAAAAAGCTTCTCATTTATCAAAAGAAAGTTTTAAATTTTTTTCTAGCTAGGGACTTTTTTTTTTGCCGCACCTTTTTAAGTAGCAGGACTTTCTTATTTATTTAATTTAATTTTTTCTTTATTAAGTTTCAGACAATTTTTCTTTCAGACCATCCGCAGCTTATTAGGACTAATTACCTGAGCACATTAATAACATAAGTTCTCAATCATCATATATGCACAACAAATTTTTTCTTCCGGTGATATTTTTTATTTAGCTTTCTTAAAATCTTTACTTTTGTGAAAGTGTATAATATTAAGGTGAAGTTCCATTCATCCGTTTTTTCATGAAAAAGGGAAAGGGACTTAAAAAATAATCACGTGGGCATGCGTATTATAAGTTTTAATTTGTCCGAAGTAAAACTACGCATGCTCACGTGATTATTTTTCCCTTTACCGTTCTATATCCCGCTCCCGTAGAAAAAAGGATAAGTGGAAACTCACCTTTACCTTACATATGTTTATAATTTTCATAAAACTTCAAAGTTATTTTGTATTTTAAAATAATTGAAAAAAATTATAAAAAAATAGCCACTAGTAGTAAGAACCGAACCTCTGTATTATTGCTCAGAAGTTCGACGCCTTATCAACTCAAGCTACATCGGCGTACATTCTGTCGTAGATTTTTTAAAATAATCTAATAATTTTTTTTAAGTAAAATGTTATATATCGATATGAAGGAGAACTTGACGCAATGTAATTTTCAAGGGAAAATCAAACTGTAAAACTTGATAACTGTTTCAGTTTGTTTTAACATATACTTTAACATTACTTAGTTTAAAGTTTACGTAAGTTAGATATTCGTTTACTTTTTTTTAAAGTGCTGCGACTCTTTCTTGCCAATTCATCGGTGGTAATGGCTGCAAAGGGTTTTGTGTCAAATACGCTCCAAGGGACACTACTATTAAAACTATTAAGTTCGGCATTATAAAATAGAAGATTACTAAGTAAATATGTAATGTCTCTACTAAGTTGCTACTGCGTAATCTTAAATTAAGTTCTTATTTTCTCAGAATTTAAAAAACCTAACCCTAGACCTAACCCTGACCGTAACCCTAACCTTAGCCGGAAGAAAGATAGCCTTCTAATAAAACAGCAACAAATAATAACTTACATTTTAACAAAAAATAAAACATAAATAAAAATTTGTATTCGTTTTTATTTTTTGCCACTTTTAAACATATTTTTTAACATAATAATGTAATTAAAAATCATTAGTAACTACATTAAAATATAAAAATTACGAAATTTTTTTAAAACTTTAAAAAACTTCGAAACTTCACCAATGCTACCTGGATGTTAACTGGCATTGTAAAACCAATTGAAATTTCCATCGGTCTTATAATTCCAAAATCGTAAAATACTCTAAGTGGTGCAAGGAAGCTGTGCCCCGATTTCCGTATAGAGATACGGAACACACCAAATCGATCAAGATTGCTAACTTGGGCATAACAACTCACTATGGTGCTATCTACAATAATTGTTGCCAATTTTGTAAATTGGCTGTTTATTCTTTTAGATTTTAAGGTTGAAACTTTTGTTACTTTTTCTTTAACAATTTTCATCTCGTTGTCTTTCGTCTCCATTTGGAGTAGTGTATCTCCAAATAAAACATGATCAGCAAATTTTACCTCAAAATTGGATTTACTTTTTACCATGATCATGTGTTTAGCTGATAATGTAATTGAAAACCCTTTTGAGGTTTAAATATATTGAATGTGACGATGATGCCACCATTTTTGTGCCCAAACATATAGACTGGCGAGTAAACTAACTGCTGTGAATTCGTATCAAAAAAAAGTACTTTATCGTTTACCTTGAGTTTGTTCAGTGTAATTGGGGAGTTTATTCCCTTTAACACTAATGCTTTTCCTGAGATGCACTTTGAATCATCAGATTTTGCATTTTTTTCTCCGACAAGTTTTAGTCTATTTGTAACTGTAAAAATATCCTTAAAAACGGTTGGTTCAATTGTAACTTAAGACGAATCCTCACAAACGGTGTGGTAGTTTTTCAAGTTACTAGATAACGTCTCAGAAATCAAACCCCTGAATCCCAAGATGTCATTTAGTGCCATTTTACACCCTTGCACATTTGACTGATTGACGAGACCAACATATTCATAGATGTAAACAAGAGACATTTTAGTTAGAAGAATTGATGGATTGGTATTTAAAAACTCTTTCCAACGGAACCATTTATTTGATAATTCAGATTTACCATAGTTAAAAATGTGAAACTTACTGCCTTCTTCAATCCACTTTAAAATTACATTAAAAAACCTGGTTTTCGTAGTTGTTCAATATGAAAAATCACTGCCACAGTCAGATAAAACATCACCGCCGGACAAAGCATGAAATAATGTTTCTAGTAGAAACTATGAATTAGTTGAATCCTATTTTTTTCATTTAAAAGAATAGATGAACAAACAAAACCAGCTCTTGTTTTCATTTTAAATACGAATAAATCAACGTGAAGATCAAAGTAAAGGCAAGCAAGACGTTTTTTAACGTACTCAGTTTGGTTTTTTCGAGTATTCACTGAATTTTCGCGTTTCATTAACAAACTAAAGATGAAAACAGTTAGGAATTTAATTTTCAATCGCGTTATATGTATCATTGTCATTAGTTTCAAATAAACGAGTTGGTTTCAGTTCGTCGCTAAGATTATGCACACCGGTTCCAACACACATTTATATGTGTGAAGGTGGAATAATTTTATCTGGAACATAACCTCCTTGATCCGCTTGCATTTCCATTAGTATTTTGTTTTCTTTCTCGTCTAGTTTTTCTAAACGGGTATCTTTTGCCTTTATGGTTATTCTTACAAAGACCTCTACACGACGAATCAAACTGTTGGAAAACAAATGATGCATAGCATTCTCCAGTAGTTCATCGTTATTTTTTCTTGCTTGTTCTACAATGGCTTTGTATAGGTTTGCTGGCTGTATGGTTCCATCGGGTAAAAATGAAGAATTGTTGTCATTAGAAACTGTTAAACCGCAAAATTCGTAATCATTCTCTAGCCAAACAACCAAGGAATCAATCCCTAGGTGTTTACTTACAAGATGTTTGACTTTACTTGAAATTTGATTTAGTTTTTCTTTCCATTTTTCAACATCACCAAACGCAATAGAACAAGCAAAAGTGATAATTACAACAACATTTGGAAACTCTTGACATACTATGTTAAGTTTTTTGATTTGCTTTAAGCTTAATACAAACTTGCTTCTCTCATGATTATATCTGTTATCGTTAGATTGTAAAAATAGAAAAATAATATTTGGAAAAATCTTCTCGGAAAACTCACTAATACAATAGTTGGAGATTGATTTAAAATTTGCAGCGTCTTGTTTCAAACCTTCTCCGTCAGATAATCCAGGAGTATCAATTAAATCCTAGAAGAGTAAACAAATTTAGAAAAATGATTTTGATAAAAGTTAAACAAATTCAAATCAGTTGCTTTATTCAAAAACAGAACAAAAAACATCGCATAGAAAATTATGATCAAAAAAATTTATTTGTTTTAGTAAACTAATAACTTTTTCTTTAAAGTAAAATAAGTGTTTCACAAATGCTAATTGAAAAATAAAAATATTGAAAATTTTCTTATTGCTATTAAAACTTTAGATACTTAAATTTAAATGAGCTTGGAATACACTTACCACCAAAAAGTTTGAAACACCTAAACTTTGGATTTTTTCCTTTATGGAATAACATGTTGTACTCCTGGTTTCTGACGAATCTTCAGATGTCCTTGCTATTGCTAGTGATAACAAGTGGTTGATAGTGCAAGATTTACCAACACCTGAATCATAAAGGCGGAAATTTTTGAATGTATATGGTAAATAACTTCATAATACAAAGAAATATACTTTTAACATATCAAAAAAGTTAAACTTTGTTAATAATACGTTTCTCTGCTAATATTTAATTCCGTTCTTTTATTGATGCAAAAAGAGACCATCAGTTTTAAAATTTAATAAACTTCTGTTTTTTCGAACAACTTGGAAAGTTGACATGCAATTAAAATGCCTTTAAGGTAACATAAGCGCAGTTACACTGCTTTCAAATCTATATTTAATATAACACAATTTAAAGTCTCGAAAAGGTTTAAGTTTAAAAGTTCATTATTAAACTTATTCTAAAATTTTTAGTTTAGTATGTCGTAGAGGCACCAATTTAAGACACATATTTGTAAATGATGTATAATTCCGTAAGACTCAAGTCATAAAATTACGATATTATTTAAGTGCAGGATATAGATAACAAAAATAAAAGTTAAAAAAATAATGACAAAGCTTTAAGTGGGAATATTTGTATTTATTGTGTTTATAATAAAACCTGTTTTTGTTATGCTTATGTTTACATTCCATATCCGCCACGAGATAAGTTTTTTAATAATTATAATTGCAAAAACAAAAATTGATGGTCAAAACTAAAATTGGAAAAAAATCTGTTTAAAAGTTTATATAATTTTTGAAAAAAACGTTTTTATCACGATTAAATGTTTTAGTCGAAGCTATAGAACTTTGTTTGAACAAAATTGCAAATATTTAGAATAAAAACTCTAGAAAAGAGTTAAACTTTAGGAAGTAAGACTGGAAGTTTAACTTTTAAGAAGTTGGTTTAAAATTTGTTTTTCTTAAGATATAAATTTAATCACTTGTTTTAGTATTCATTACCTATTATGACTCAATAATAGCAAAAAACACTTTTAATATCTTGAAATAAAAGACACTTACCAGAAACCCCTAGAAGTATTATGCTGACTTTTGTAAAACTTCTCAGTGACTTTTTGGAATTGTAACAAGCTTTAAGTAATTTGCCCCTTGGTAATTGAAAAGCCAAGTGATTTGATACTTGAAAATTGAGTTTGGATAAAATTCCAAGTTCATAAGCTTCTTTTAAGATATCTGATTTTGAACTGGGCATAGGTTTCAAATCCATTTTAAAGTATTTATTAATTCATAAACTATAAATAAGTTTTATAATCCTAAAACAAAGGAGAATAAATACAATAAATGGTATTTTTATAAGTTTTAATGTATTTGAATTAAGTAGCGGCATGTTGCTTTTCGGTAGTTATGATACATACATATAATATTAAAATTTTCTAGACAAAATCAATTTTATTTAATAAAAGACATATCAAAATATTTTAACTATTGTAGAGTAAAAAAAAGTTTCCTAAGATGATCTATTTTTTTTTACGTGAATTAAATTCAATTAAATGTTACCTTATAATACAATGTTTTTCAAATCAAAATTATTAAAGAAATAAAAATTAGAGTTTTCTTTTACAAGAACATTACTACATCGTTATACAAGTCATCAATTCATTGGCAACTGTTTTAATCAGAGAAACGTCTTAGAACAATCAACCCTCCCTCAATTAAAACCAGCAAACGTATTTTATAAAAACTTAAAAAAATCAATTGACAGTAATTAATGGACTGCAACTAACTGGTGTTAAACAAGGTTTTAGCATTAGATTCATAACATTTATTTTGTTCATTAAAAAGCAAACTAATATAAAAATGCAAACATTTTTAAGACAATACTAAAACTTTATCGATGACAATCTTAGAGTAATGCACATCAAGTCTATAGAAAGATTTAAATTAACCGTTAAAATGGTAGCTAGTAAAACTATGGTCAGAATATGTACAATAATGCAAAACAAAGTTAAAAGCAAAAAGTTTATTGCATTAGTTGTAAATAATAACAAGGGTCAAAAAGTACAAAAGATCTAAGTGTAAAACTCTTCCTAAATTTCAGTAAAAACATTGACTCATTACTGCAAAAAATTATACAAATAAAAAGTTAGATTTTGTAAAACAATAGCAAAATTATTTTATGTGGCTTTCATTCAGAGTATTCAATACCATATAGTGTACATATCTTGTAGTAGTTACAAGAAAATGTATTAGCGGGTGCCACCCTGACTCACAGAATTAATTAAATCAAACTGGTGTTTGCTTTCCAAAGATAGTTTGAAATATTTTAAACAATCAGCTATGAGTTAATCTAGACATTTAAACTAACAAATAAAATAAAAAGGTTTAACCTATTTTATTCTTTTTATAAACAGCCATATACAAAATAATGAAAGAGAACACAACAATAACAAGTGTTTTATTTTACTAATTTAAGTTTTTGGTAAAGCAGCCAGAAATTTCAAGAACAAATTTAGCATTTTGAGTTAAAATTGTATATTTTGAATAACGCATAGTTTGACTTTTGCAGAGATTTATTTTTGTTTAATTTATTTCGCCGTTAACAAACGTTTACATCGCGTATAAATTTATCAAAATTAATGGCTGGAGCGAGAAGAAGGCACATTTTGCCTTATCGCCGTGCCCCATACAGATAAAAATTTTACAAAACCGTAACATTTTTAACAACATCACTTAAATTTTGTTGATATAAATAAATCTGTTTTATGCTTAATTTATAAGAAGCATTTCAAGTCAGAAAAAATAAGATCCCTAAACATCTTTTTGATTCATTCTTGAATTGTTTTAAGGTAGTCTTGTCTCTTTTGAAAGTATTTGTGAACTTTCTCCACAGATATGTTCACGGTATTAAATTGAATAGAAGGTTAATTTTAAACTATATTTGAAAAGAACAAAGTTGTTATCTGAAAACTTTGTTGGATAACTTTAAAAAAGTTGGGGAAAATTAGATTTTTTTTTTAAACAAAAACAATGAAACTTTATTTAAATTGAGTTTATACACATTTAAAGCACCAAGCGCACGTAAAAGTGGTTTGCAAGGAGTTTTTCTTTAGACTCCAAACCACATTCTGCATGCATGTTTTTGTTTATTGTAGATTTTCATAAGTTTTGTATAGCCAGTACAAGCCCACACAATATCACAGCAAGACAAATAACTGCGAATAAAGGTAAAATATAATTGTTTCAAGGATGTTACATTTAGAAAAGGTTTAACTTGTAACATCGTTTCAATTTTTTTTGAGAGTGTCGTTTCAATACTATTTGTTCGTGAACGTCACAACACATTTTCATCCAGTTTTACGCCTAAAATATTCACGTATGTTTCCCTTTTTATTATAAGTATTTCTAATTATAACATTTGGTAGTTTAAGAAATATGTTTTCCGGCTTATTTAGTTAATGGAAAAGTACATATTTAGTTTTATTCACATTTAGTGAAAGTTTGTTACTTACAAACCATTCCCTAACTTGACATAAGTGTTCAATAACTATTTTAAAAAGTGTTTTAATATCTCTTTGAGAACAACAAAAGGTTTTTGTTGTTCTCAAAGAGATATTAAACAAAATTAAGTCTATAGGATTTGTTGCTAAGTATAAGATATAGAAATAAGAGTGGTCCTAAAATTGAACTCTGTGAAATTCCGCAAGCAACAGAATATGGAATTGTATTATTTTGATCATAGTACAAAAATTGCTTTTGGTTTGTCAGACACCCTTTGAACTAAAGTCAGTTTTTACTTTTCACTCCGTTGTGTTCAAGTTTTTTTTATTAGTATATTGTGTTTTACCGTATCAAGAGCTTTTGACAGATCAATAAAAACTCCTAATGTAAAACAGTCGTTTTCAAAAGCGTTAGATATTTGATTGGTAGGTTCAACTAATGCATGTTCACTGAAATATTTTTATAAAATCAAATCGCCTGCAATACAACATGTCGTTCTCAGTTAGTTGAATATATAGCCTATTTTATATTGTTTTCTCTGACATTTTTGAAAAACAAGATAATATGGGTACAGAACTGTATTTTATAATACTACATTTTATAATACTACTACATTTATCTCCCAATTTAAAAACTGGTTTTTTACGGGCAATTATTAGTTTCTCAGGAAGAATACCTGTCTTAAACAAACAATCAAAAAAATGAAATAAATAAGATTCAATAATGTCAAATACTAATATGATAATATCAATACTAATTTTATCAAAGTTTATACTTTTTCACTTTTGAAACTGCTAAATGTAGCTCTGAGCTCGCTATGTTTTAAATGTTTTTAGTTTCGTCCATAATTTATTCATAAGTTTTTAAATAGGAATAAAAAAGAGTGGAAAAAGATGAAACTTTAGCAGCAAATTTTGGACCAATGTTAACAAAGTAGCTGTAAAATTCTTCAGCTATAATTGATTTTCTTTAACATCTTTGCTTCCAACAAGGCTGCGAGCAACCTCTATAAGAGTCGGAAGTTAATGGAAGAGAAAAAAATTAAGTTTGTAGAACAAGATATCAATTGACAGACAATTTAAAAGATTGCAAAATGTATGAATCAGGGAACCAAGATGAAAGAAGCAAATTCCAAAGAGCTGATGCTCTAGAAAAAAAACTAGACGAATAAGAGTTTTTGGAGTACTTAGAAAGAGTCACAGAAAAAAAGATGAGAGTTATTTAAATGACGAGTATCACTAGAATGAATTTAAGTAGATGTCACAGAAGACGCTAGTTTTTTAGAGCAGTGCCCATTATTGTATTTGTTGAGAAGACAAAGAGAAGCAACATCACGGCGATGCGACAATGGCTAGAGTTGACTGCAAGAGCAGGTCCAACTATGTTTACAGTGCGTTTTTGCACCTTGATTAAACAAGAAAGGGCATTATTAGAATATCCGGCCCAGATATCGCAACAGTATTCCATACAGGGACAGATTTCAGATTTATAGAGAAAAAGAATAGATTCTGGAGTAAAAAGCGTCGAGCTTGATATAGAAATGCAACCTTACCAGATGCAATGGTTTTGATATACGGTTTCCAAGAAAGATTAGAAGTAGGAGTTAATCCTAGAAGATAATTGGTCGATGACTCATCTAGCACAATGCTGTTGATAAAAATAGGAAAATCTAAAGTATTGCGATAACGATTGTCTAAAAAAAGTTGAGTTTCATTACCAGCTACTGAGCTAATCTCAAAGGTGTTACCAGATATACCGTAAGAAGAAAGCTTTCGGAGAAGACCAGGATGAAAAACTTTATCAAAAGCTTTAGAAAAAATCAAGTGCAATAGCCTTAATCCTTCAACCAATTTTGAATGCACAATAAATCTTATTGGCTACTGCTGTTAGCAAATTGGCTGTAAAACGAGAGGATCGAATTTATATTGATGATCACAAAGTAAGTTATTAGATTCAAGATAAGAGATTAGGTGTTTGTTAATTAAAGATTCAAAAACCTTGCTTATGATAGAAATAAGACTAATGAGACGGTAGTTTAGATTAAGATTTTGATTTAGATCGCTCCCCAGAAAATTTGAAAACAGGGATAACAAATACCACTTTCCAGCTGCAAAACAAGACTCTTATAAGCACTTGTTAAACAGTTTTGAAAAAATGGATGAAAGCTCAGGAGTACACTTCTGCAAGGCTACAGCAAGTGTGTTGTCTGGATCACAAACTGAGGAAGAGTCTAAGCAGGAGATTACTTTTGATACAGATGCTGGAGTGATACAAATGTCGAGCAATGCATCAACTTGTTTTACGGCTAAATCAGGTAGAACACAACTATTGGAATCAAAAGATGATACTGATGAAAAGTTCTTAGCAAACAATTCAGCTTTGTCAAAGTCTGAACCATAAAAGAAAGGTGGAATAACAGATTTGCCCTTATTATTGATACTGTTAAAGGTTCTTTAGGTGTCACGAGAGCCTATTTATTGTGATGAAAAATAAGGGAATACAAGATTCCATGCAAGCCTGAATCTACAAAGTAATGTAAGAAACAAATTTGTCAGCAGGAAGGCGAATGGTTTCTACCCAAGGGTAATCACAAAGAAAATGGCAGAAAGAGTCCCAGTCAGCTTTAAGTAGTTTTATGGGGATTCTGAAAAAGAAAAATTATGTAATTGCTTTAAAGGATCAATCCGTGATCATAAACATCGAAGGGTAAATAAGGAGAAACTAAGCACTGACCAGGATCAGAAACAAGACATATGTCGAGTAGGAAAGGTATCGTAAAGTACTTTTCCATTGAATAAAAGACTTTTTTTTGGCAGAATCTTTTTTTAT